AAAAACCTATGAGATATTCAAGGATAATACTTCTCAAAACCATCAACATTTGCTTCTTTTGTTATTAAATGTTCAACTTATTTGGCAAGTGCCTTTCAATTATCTATCATATAAAATAAGAATATTGATGTTTGATTTACCTACAAGTGAAAGAATAACATACATGTAAATACCATATATATATATATATATATATATTATTGTCTAGTTTGAACCTCATTTGAATGCATATCAAAATAGGATGGAGCAATGCTTAAATCATATTCAAATAATGACCCAATCAAGTTCAACTATTATTATAACCATATTTAAACCTATTCAAATAATGTGATTCTAGTTAAAATAAGGTTTAATTTAGATCCAAGCAAGATTAGAACTAGATTGACTTGTTGGAGCTAAGTTGTCTTTTGTTCGAAGTTGGTTTGAACCTATTTCAATCACTTTCTCGTAGGTTCTGCTTTTATATGTCCATCATAATGACATCTTTAACTCATTTTAATAAAAGAATTCTTTATCGTAGCCAATATAAATAATTAAAAAATGTTAACATATGATCATAATATTTAAACATTAAATATATTTACCTATGGATGTTGAAATCCAATTCAACTCCTTGAAACTTTGTATTGTTGTGATCTTCTTACCATATTGTAGGTAGAGATCTCATAATAAAGGAAGAAATATAGCAAATAGAGAAAGATGCTATACAATAATATGTATGGATAAGTTAGAAATAATATAATTTTTGTTGGAATATGAGTCCCAAATAATACATTAAGATAGATACAACAGGGTAAATCCTCTTGAAAATGTCTAGTAAGGACATCTATTACTACTAAAATTACATACATTAAGATAGATAAGAAGTACAAAATTTCCTTAATTTTCCATATAATTAAATTTCATCATATGGAATTTTACCTTACAAACTATCTTTTTCGTGACATAATTTTATAATTTCCACTATTTAAATGTTCTCAAAATGTCAAATAGTATAATTTAAATTGACATTTTAATAAAACTAATTTTTATTAGTATCTATAATTGTGTATAAAAATCCTATGAGATCTTCAAGGATAATACTCCTCAAAACCATCAACATTTGCTTCTTTTGTTATTAAATGTTCAACTTATTTGGCAAGCGCCTTTCAATTATCTATCATATAAAATAAGAATATTGATGTTTGATATACCTACAAGTGAAAGAATAACATACATGTAAATACCATATATATATATATATTATTGTCTAGTTTGAACCTCATTTGAATGCATATCAAAATAGGATGGAACAATGGTTAAATCATATTCAAATAATGGCCCAATCAAGTTCAACTATTATTATAACCATATTTAAACTATTCAAATAATGTGATTCTAGTTAAAATAAGGTTTAATTTAGATCCAAACAAGATTAGAAATAGATTGACTTGTTGGAGCTAAGTTGTCTTTTGTTCGAAGTTGGTTTGAACCTATTTCAACCACTTTCTCGTAGGTTCTGCTTTTATGTCTATCATAATGACCTCTTTAACTCATTTTAATAAAAAAATTCTTCATCGTAGCCAATATAAATAATTAAAAAATGTTTAACATATGATCATAATATTTAAACATTAAATATATGTACCTATGGATGTTGAAATCCAATTCAACTCCTTGAAACTTTGTATTGTTGTGATCTTCTTACCATATTGTAGGAAGAGATCTCATAATAAAGGAAGAAATATAGCAAATAGAAAAAGATGCTATATAATAATGTGTATGGATAAGTTAGAAATAATATAATTTTTGTTGGAATATGAGTCCCAAATAATACATTAAGATAGATACAACAACATCAAGCCTTTATCCCATTATCTGGGGTCGGCTACATGAATCCTTTTCCACCATTGTGCCATGGTAAAAGCCAAATTCTCATTTAATTAAGAAAGATCATTTCTAATATTTTCTAACCAAGTCTTCTTTGGTCTACCTCTATCTTTCTTAATATAAGCCACTAATCTTATTTGTCACTAGAACTACTCCAACCTTTTCACGTATATGCGCTTTTTGAATCCTATCTCTAAGAGTAAATTCACTCATCAGCCTAGGCATCTTTATTTCTACAACACTTAATTTAATATTATATTTCTCTTTTAATGGACAACATTCTGCACCAAAAAGTATTGCACATCTCACCACCATCTTGTAGATTTTTCTCATAAGTTGAGGTGTAATTTTCTACACACGACAAGCCCGATGCATTCCTCAACTTCAACCATCCAACTTGAATTCTATTAATAATATCCCATCTATTTCACCATCACTATGAACAATAGACCCAAGATATCTAAAACATATACTCTTATTAATGACTTGATTGCCCAAAGTCACAATCCCTCCGCTAGATCTATTGCTACTAAAATTACATTCCATGTATTCAATTTTAGATCTACTCAAAAGAAAACCTTTAGACTCTAAAGTTGACCTCCATAATTCAAGTTTACCTTCAACTTCCTCTCTAGTCTTATCAACAAGCATATCATCAGTAAAAAGCATACAACAGGGTAAATCCTCTTGAAAATGTCTAGTAAGGACATCTATTACTACTAAAATTACATACATTAAGATAGATAAGAAGTACAAAATTTCCTTAATTTTCCATATAATTAAATTTCATCATATGGAATTTTACCTTACAAACTATCTTTTTCGTGACATAATTTTATAATTTCCACTATTTAAATGTTCTCAAAATGTCAAATAGTATAATTTAAATTGACATTTTAGATTTTTGATTTGAATTTATTCTTCATAAAAATAGAAGAATTTGTTGCATTAAATTTTATTTTGATGTTTAAGCATTACAAGAAAATACTATATCTCATAAAAAGTAAATTGATAGATATTATACTTAGATTTATATGAAATTAAGTTAAACAAAATAGAGAATACTTATTATTCCTAAAACCTCATGAGTGAAATATTTATGAAAAAAAAAGTAGTTGAAGTCGATAATTGAATATAAAAAGTAATTTGATAAAATTCTAATAAAAATATAGCAATATAGCTTTCATCCATACAAATTAGAAAATTTATCTTTATATGCCCCATAATGCCTAAAATTATAGAAATGTATCCATCATTTGTTTATGGGAGAAATATGATGAAAATTCCTCCATTTTTTAAAATAGCGTTGAAATTCTCTTTGAACAATTTCATGACATTTCATTCATGGGAGTTCTTCATCCTTTCTTCTTCCCAATACTTTATTCATTAATGGCAGCTGCAGTATGTTTCTTCTTCCCAATACTTTATTCATTTATGGCAATTTGCAGTGTGTGCATACTTAGGCTATGATGAAGTTTCCATGTGACAATCTCTCTGATCATCTTTGATTAGCGATGCTATGTGTTTGATTATTTTGGGTTTGAATAAGGTGTTCTCACTCTAAACCTAAGTTGAATAAATTATTAGACATCAAATTAATTAAAGATGATTTGATTATGGTTTGATCTTGATTTAAATATTGTTTGAATTATGATCGAAGATAGTTATACCACTATATGATCATGATTCCATTGATTCCATCATGATTTAAACCTAGTGCAATGATGCAATCATGTTTAAATTATTATTTGATCATGATGTAATCATTATTCAAAGATTTTTTGAATCATGATCGACGATGGTCCAATTATGAGATATTTTATTTTACCTACATTATCTCTTCTGAAAGTTAACTTATTTAAGTTACTTTTCTATAGATGAAGATGTCAACAATTATGTCCATATAGTAGATGTCAACAATTATGTCCATATAGAGGCATTATAATACTCTTGTCAGATATAAAGTTGGAGATATAGTGAAAAAATTGGTTAGCCAAGCCAATTTAAGACAAATTACCTCATTGTCAAGGTCGAGAGATCCCCCTTCGATTAGTTTTTTTGAACTATTGAATTGTAGTTCTCTAGGGCCCTAGTTCATCATATGTTATTGAGGACGGTTAATGATAATGTGAATGAGAGACACACCTTAAATGCCCGTTCTCCACTGACGCCTTGTTGATGCTACGCCACCACCTATTATTACTTTCCCACTTATTTATCATGGAAGGTTCTTCCCATTCCACTAAGTCATTCGATGTATTTTTCAAAACAAGATACTATTGGGACTTCATCATCTACTTTCATAACTGATCACATAGGAATGAAATTAAAGAAATGATTGTTTAATAAGTAAAAAATTTAGATATTAAATATATCAATATGATAATTTTAATTATGTATGTAAGTCCTCAATTATATTTTTTTCTTCTATGTAGAAAGGGAATTTTGTCAAACCACATGAAAAAAAGTTAAGAATATAAATAAATGATTAAGTTTATTTAACACATTTAACCAATATTTTAAAACCGAACCGGACCGACTGGTTCAACGTTGAATCGGTCTTATGGCTGGTCCGATTCATGCTAAGAACCGCTTATGCATCAAACCGACCAAAACTGCCGTTGAA